TTAGGTATGTATCGAGCCCTATCGTGGTTGTTTTGTAGGAGGCTTCTAATTGGATAAGACCCCTACCACCAGCATTTCTTGGGAGGTAGAGTCTGTCTAAATCTGCTTTTGTGTGATGCATTTTTGATAGGGTGAGTAGTTTTCTTGTTTTTGTGTCTAACCTCTTGATTTCACTCATCTTCCAGTCGATTATTATTATTATTATTATTATTATTATTATTATTATTACTATTATTATTATTCTTATTAGCGGCCCACCACGTCGGTTCAATTTTCGACATCAATCTCATCCCACTCTTCACGTGTGTACTTGAACTTATGTGACGTAAGCGTAAGCATAAGCGAAAGTCCGCCATCTTATTCTATGTTAAATTATCCATTCTGCGCGTGCCTACGTGCTTATGCTTGTATTGTGGGCCTAGCTTCTCGCTACCAGTATGCTCATGCTTGTGCTTGCGCTTATGTAGTAGTGAAAACCAGCCTTGAAGAGCACAAATTACAATAAACTTACTTGAGGGAGACAGCCCAATTCCCGGGCCGCGAATTACTTTTTCTGATCATGAAAGTACCGTCGACTTTGTTTTTTAAGAGCGCTTCAGCCTCAGTCCTACAAAACATGACAACGAAAACATATTACCAAATTTATACGTCCCATATTCCGTAGATTAACGTACCTAAATTCGCAATTAACCAATAGAATCCGTGTTTACTGATATCAAGTCACTGACCTGATATAGCTACGATATCATGCTCACTTGACCGAAAACTAAGTACCGTAAATACCTAATCGTACCGGTTTTGGTACTCTTCGTTGCCATATCAGCCTCGTTTGGTCTCGCCACGGATATTTCGGCCCGACTCGTCTGGCCAAAATGCGAACAATGGCTCGACCAAACTCACCTGATAGTGCCACCGACGAGTACCAAAAAGGTACGATTAGGGATAAATATTAGCCAAACATATCTCGAGAAATAGTCGAGGACAGAAAAAAATTCAAACAGATGAGGAGTTTATAGCTCAAATTGTCAAAGCTCTCCGAACAAACTTTCTGTAACATAAAGTAATTGTTAATGAATGTAGAACACTCATGGTTCGTTGCGATTTGGGGATTACAGAACTTAATCGTTGCAGTACACTACCTGTAAAGTATCCCACGTAACCACTGAGGTTCAGAGAGGTCTATATCAGGTCTATAACAGAGAATAAGAACAAAGTATTCAATCACCATTATATTGCATGGCGGCGCGAAGATATAAATTATATTTTACGAACGAGTGTAGCGGGTAAAACAGTTGTTGCTTTTAACACGAGAAAATAATAGCCAATCTTCAAGCCTAAAAAGTAGCGTTAACTGATGAAGAGTGGTTATGATGACCTATCAAAATCTTAGTCACGGAAAGTGCTGAAAACTGTTTTTTGCCATCTTAAGATAAGACCATCCTATGAAGGATACGAAGTCGTACATTCTCATCACCTGCGAATTTGATGTTGAGGCGCAAGAGTAAAGAGAAATAAAATAACGATCGGAAAATGTTGAGTAAATCTTACACATCATAGATGTCTTCTTGAGAGTTGCCGTTTGGTAAACCATCCTGCTCAAAAGCCAGTTTATCGGTTCGATCGATAAAAGCTTGGTTACCAAACAGTTGCAACAACCGCTGAATATTAGTTTTATGGCTGGGAGTAAAACTTTATTTGTACTGAGTAACTTAGTCTTATTTTATCCAGATCCACGTCTTTTATAGCTTATAAATCAACTGGAATACAGATATATTTTACTTTCTTTACAATCTTAAACTTGTAATGACCTAGACACCTGTTATGGACTAAAGATTCCTTTTGAGCAGTAACCTCAGGACGTCTGACATTTGGGGAAAAATTAATAGAAAACGGCTTCTATTCTCCGCCCCGCCCCGCCCCCCTCCCCACCCCCACCTGCTAAGTCCGAAGGTGCCCGTACGCCTATGTCTACACGTCACACTAAAATGAACATTCTGGACATTTCATATCAGAACACATGAAATGTGACTGGGTCCGCGCTTTAAAGTCAACTGGAGGCTTGAACACGATATCAGGGACTTAAAGCAACGACAACGCGGACGGCGACGGGAACGCCATAAGATCAGGGAAAAGCCAAAAGGTCCACTGCGCATGACTGGCGGGACACAGGTTGACGTTCTGCGTTCGGGCCATTCTCGTCCCCAGTGCTACTCGTCTTAAAAAGTCGTTGACGAGTAGCTCTGGGCGCACCCAAAAATTCGAATTTTTTCATTGGCTGACAAAAAATGAATGCGCAGCAGAAATGAAAATTACAA